TCGGACTTGATTGGAGAGGACACGCGAGAGGACACAAGACCCTTCCGAGGGCCACGTTGCCACAGAAATGCAGGAGGCATGGGTCGTAAGACACAAGACACGAGGGTACCCTTGATCTGGCGGGTCGACCCACGAATCCGGGCCGCCTGTATCGGCGTGCCGATTCGATTTTGGCCTCTCAAGGCTGCATGGGGACCCCGCGATCATCAATCATGGGTCTGGGCTGACTACCCCCCAGGGAAGAAGTCGGAAACTCTGGGGCCGGATGCTGCAAACATGACATCGGAGGATGTCTAGGCTTTCGTTGGTTCCTGGAGGCCTCCTGCCTCGGGATACCTCCCATTCGAAGAGAGAGCCGTCCTCCATCCAGATAACTCCTGCAAGCTTTCGAGACGAGTGAGAACTCCATTTTGGAAACTCCTCCTCCTCCTCCTCCTCCTCCTCCTCCTCCTCCTCCTCCTCTCACGGACCGCCTGCGCCCGAGCCCTCGCCGCCGTCACAGCGCGGCGCTGCAAGCCTCACGCTTCAAGGCTATCAACGGCGAGGACGTCTCAGGCGCAATACCCAGCCCGCCCCACCGACACGCGCCTGGCCGCGGGCATCGGGCCCGAGGGCCCGCTCGTCAGGCCACGGGCGGTCGGCCGAGCATGGCCGGCCATGGCCGCAGGCCACGCTCTCGGCCCCAACGCCATCGGCGCCGAGGCATTCGAGATTTTCTGACGCTCTCGTTGGCTCCTGGAGGCTTGCCTGTCTCGGGATGCGTTTCAATAAGTGGCCGCGCCTCCTCGGGAACGTTCTGGGGATGCCGGTACCGTCCTGAACGGCCGCCGGGATACCCTGACAACGGCGGAAAACCTCTGACCTTCGGGCCTACACCTCAGGGCCCCGTGGACAGGGTCATGTCTCGCTGTCGGGCCATAGTGCGGGCCTTCGGCGGCCGTTCGTGACGATCCGGGCACCCCGGGAAAGCCCTCGGCGAGGCGGCGCTGCTGGACGGCATGCCGAGGCCAGAAAACCGCCCAGAATCCATGAAAACGCCCAAAGACCTCTACTCCGAGTTTCTTAATAAGCGTCGGGGGGGGGCGTCACCCCCGCCGACAGACACACATCGACCCCCGTCGCGGGCAGCCACCGCGCGCCGAAGGCGCTCCGACCCCCGTCGCGGCGCGACCACGAGGCGAGGCTGACCCCCTTCTGGAAGGTGCCCCCCTCACGCTTAATAAGAAACCCAGAGTGACCTTCGGGCCCACCCCTCAGGGCCGAGTGGAGAGCGAGACAGCTTCGGTAGAGAACGCCGTTCCTGAGTTTGGAGGCCTCCAGGGCGTCTCAGAGCGAACCGTGAGAAAGTGTCGAGCGGGAGCCATTGCCACCTTGGCTGGGGGGGGCCTGCGCCGGATGCTCGCGGACCTGCGAGGACGCCTCTCGGGCGAGGGCGCCGCGCTCCCGTGAGCGATGCTTCTCCTGTGACCAGGGCGCCTCCTCGGAGTACTCTGAGCACCCGACGAGCTCTGGGGGGGCCTGCAGTCCTGGGGGGGGAGGAGGAGGAGTAAGAGTAGGAGTAGGAGTAGGAGTAGGAGTAGGAGTAGGAGTAGGAGTAGGAGTAGGAGTAGGAGGAGGAGGAGGAGGAGGAGGAGGAGGAGGAGGAGGAGGAGGAGGAGGAGGAGGAGGAGGTGGAGGGGGGAGGCTGCAGGCGCTTCCGCCCCCCGCGGCGGCAGGCGCCGCGCCGCGCCGCGCCGCGCGGCGGCGGGCGGCGGGCGGCGGCCTTCTCTTCCGCCGCCTGCCGCTCGAGCCGGCCCGTCGACCTGTGCAGCTCGTCCACCGATCGGCTCGTGTTGGACTCCTTCGCCTGCACCTGGGCGTCGGCGCAGAGCGGCGCCGGGGGCAAGACAGCGATGGCCACGACCCACGACCGAGGCCGAGCGAGGAAGCGTCGGGGTCGATGGCTGGTCATCGTCCGTCCTGGCCCTCGTCGATCCGCGGACCGTCCTCGAGAGTCGGCGACGGCTGGCGTGGGCCATGACCAAGATCGGCGCCGCCAAGATCCCGCGTCAACTGGTCGGCTCGTGTTGGACTCCTTCGCCTCCGCCTGAGCGACGAAGAGAGGCGGGCCTTACGCGAGGTGACACAACGACCTTACGCGTTGGCCCACGCAGGCCGCCAGCACGGCACACTCCGCATGGAGCGAGGGCGCTTGAAGCGCGACCTCGCGTGGGAAGCTCACCTGCGCGCGCGAATGTCTGTGCTCTCGACCTCGCTTCGTGCGTCGCTCACCCGGGCGTCGGCACCGGCCACGGGCCCCGACTCCCCCGCACCGTGCACACGCCGCGGCGGACAATGTTCGTGCTCGCCCTCGGCCTCGGGGGGGCCCTCTCGGCGGGCCCCGCGGCCGCCAACAGGAGCGACCCGGGGGGAAGAGGACGGCCCCACAGAAGGGGTCCAGTGGGGAGCCCACGAAGGAGTTACGCGCCCAACCACGTACATGAGCGCGGCCCCCCCAGTCAGCAAAACCAGCCGCGTGATACGAACGTTCGCACAGTGCGCACTCTCGAAACTAGTGTGGATACATGTGTGCGTGTGCATCCTTTTTGTCGCTCCTGATCCAGACCTCACGCTGCAGACACAAACACGACGGCGGATGTCCGGGTCCAGGAAGTTGGAAGCATACATGGCTGGAATCACGCGGGGAGCAGAAGGAGGAGGAGGCGGGGGAGGAGGAGGAGGAGAAGGAGGAGGCGGGAGAGGAGGAGGAGGAGGAGGAGAAGGACGGGGAGGACGGGGAGGAGGAGGAGGAGGAAGAGGAGGAGGAAGAGGAGGACCAATGTAAACCCAAGAGCCATCAACGATGTCGGAATATACCCTCCCTCCAAGCTCCCTCTCCATAGGCCCCTAAAACTGTCTATTTCCATTGAGGGATCTGCCTCGTTGGAAGACAACTGTTTAAAGACCCGGAAGCATGCCAAATCATTGTTCTCGGGATTCCAACGCCACGGATCAACCTGATTGTTGCGTCTTGACGATCCTGGATCATGCCAAAACGCCATTCTTGGGATTTCAGCACCGCGAATCAACGTAATTGTTGCACCCGCAAAATCCTGAACCCTTCCAAAACACCATTTCTGGTACGTTGATCGTGGGCATCCGTGAAACTCTTGCAAATTGTTGAACGATTGTGCGCGGCGCTAACGCGAGAACCACATTTTGAACATGAACTGCTCTCAACCCGCGAAACTCGTGCAAATCTTATGAACAAATGTGCGCGGCGCTATGGCGATATCCACATTTTGAAAACGGGTTATCATCAATCCGTGAAGCTCTTGTATATTTTCAGATCGAATGTGCGCGGCGCTATAGCGAGAACCACATTTTGAAGACCACCCGCCCTCCATCTGTGAAGCTGTTGTCAATTTTTAAGCTTCAGGGTCATAAGTCATAAGTGGTGAGGACATCTCAGGCGAAACGCACGGCCCGCCCTAACAACTGGCCTCGGGGTGCAACAGGGAGAAGTTATTTATAAGGAAAAGGAATGGAGGAGGAGGAGGAGGAGGAGGAGGAGGAGGAGGAGGAGGAGGAGGAGGAGGAGCGAGGAGGAGGAGGAGGAGGAGGAGGAGGAGGAGGAGGAGGGCAGGGAGGAGGAGGGCAGGGAGGAGGGCAGGGAGGAGGAGGAGGAGGAGGAGGAGAGGAGGAGGAGGAGGGCAGGGAGGAGGAGGAGGGAGGAGGGCAGGAGGAGGAGGAGGAGGAAGAGGAGGAGGAGGAGGAGGGGAGGAGGAGGAGGAGGAGGAGGAGGGCAGGGAGGAGAAGGACGGGGAGGAGACGGACGGGGAGGAGGGGGAGGAGGAGGAGAGGGGGGGGGAGGAGGAGGAGGAGGGGGAGGGGGAGGAGGAGGAGGAGGAGGAGGAGGAGGAGTAGGAGGAGGAGGTGGAGGAGGAGGAGGAGGAGGGGGAGGAGGAGGAGGAGGAGGAGGAGGGGGAGGATGAGGAGGAGGAGGAGGATCCAGAAGCCGCCTGCTGGATACACGGGCGGCAGCCCTGCCTGCACGGCCACAGCAGGGCCGAGCGCTGGACAGACGTCGTGCCACGCGTGACGCCAGACCTCGCCCAAGCTGGCCGCGTCATGTGTATCCAACTTCCCGGTGCAGTGGAGGCCAGTCCAACAAGAAACCTTGCACAACAAGCCTCACCCTGAGACCCCAAGACGTCCATGCATTTTTGCTGCGGGAACGCCACGCCTTCCACAGCAAAACCATCGAAACCGTCATGTGTATCCAACTTCCTGGTACAGTGGAGGCTCGTCCACAATAAACCTTTCACAAGAAGCCTGACCCTGAGACCCAGGACGTCCATGGATTATTGCTGTGGGAACGTACGTCACGCCTTCCACAGCAAAGCCATCGAAACCCACGACACCCAGGGCACCCTGGAGGTAAGCAGGGTGATTCTTGGCATGGGCCCCCACTGTACACCTGGATGGCGCAACAACTTTTTAACGTCCACAATTGCTCACAAGGCATCAACACCTTGATAAACGTGTGCGCTTCCCAGCACGCGTTGAAACCGGCAACTTCCATCAAGGCCATCCGGTGCAGACATGTTCCTGAACACTTGGCAAGACCTTTCATCCGCAGCTCCCATGTGGCACGAGCGACAAGATTTGCAGCCTGTCCCCTACGGTATGTACATACAACTCTGAATTATCACTCGGACTTCTGTAGGAATACCGTGGATGTAAACAATAAACGCGAAACTTATTCATAACATTGGATTTCGCCATTCAAAGGCCGCGAGTTCCAGGTAGGGCAAGATCGGCAGCTGCCCGGGAAAATGTAATCAATAAACGCGAAACACGGAAACACTTTTTTCAACCTGGGGCCGTTCATGCCTAGCTTGCGTTCCATATCTTTGCATGGCGGAATTCAATGTTACGGATGGGTTTCGCGTTAATTTTTTACATCCACGGTATTACAGCATGCAAGCGAGCTAACTGAGACTGATAAGACCTGACATCTAGGAGTAGACAACAGCTTCGCTGTCAATACTGCCGCAAGCCGCTGGTTTCGGGCCCTGGTAAGCATCGCAGACCGCTTGGAGCAGTGCTGACGGATCATCCAAGGGCTTGCCCTCCACGAGCACATAAGGCACGCCAGCATGAGGGGGCGTCGCTGCTGCATTCCCTGCAAGAGCCTGGACTCCCGATTGGCCGTAGAAGCAAGTGGCCAGATGGTCGATGGCAAGACCTGCCGAATGGGCGCAGGTCGCGGCAACGCTCGGGGCGTCGGTGACGGCGTCAAACTGCGCTTCCATGCATGTTACGAAGGGCACGTACAGCTCCGCTCTCTCGTACACCTTCCTTGCGCAAGTGAACCACATATTGAAGTCACATTCCCTCTTGCCATGCTGGCAGACAATACTCCCCGAATAACAGTCTGCCGGCGGGGAGGCAGCACCGAGACCGCACTTGGAATTAAAGCACTGCCTTGCGGTGATATCATATGACCTGGGGCCACCACACTCAGACGTGACGTAGTACGCGTTGCCCCAGGGAACAAAGTCGAAGTCCATCAATGATGGAGCAACGGCTAGCGTGTGGTTCAGAGTGTCAGCCACGAATGAACGGCACATGGGTCAGCCACTCTCGCCGTAGAATTTCACGTTGACGGGGTCCACGCCCACGCAGGCCCCGATGACCAGGGATGCCCAAACGAGCCTGTTGGTGGCGCCGCTCATGAATGAGCCTGCGAACTGGCGGGAGGTTAGCAACGAGCCTGACGTCGGAGGCGGCTCGACCACCTTGAGCCGCAACGGCTTGAACCACAATGGGTACGTGTGGAGGGTGCAACAACTTTTGAGCACGACTTCGAGATCCGGCGCGGAGTTCAAGGACCCCTGAGCGGGGGCATGACCAAACGGGGGCTTGGGCTTTTCCATATGCGCCCGTTTACTATGCCCCCGTCTACGGAACCCATGGCCCGTTCAGCAGATGCCTAACCCCCAACATGAACTCGGCGTTCCCCGTGCCCTCTTTTGCTGTGACCCCGTCTCTGGCGCCCTGCAGAAATCCGTCCTTCGGAAGGCCGGGCCGGCGGGCCCCAGGAGCTCCCTGCGGACGCACACGCCACGCCGAAAGGCTTCTTGGCACCGTTCTGGAAGCTTCATTGACCCTCATCGGGGATCTTCTGGCCCGGGTCAATTCAGACCTGGGCCAGTCAGGCCTTGCAGACTCCTACAAGATCCTGCGCCCAACCCCAGGTCGATGCGAAGGACTCTGCAAGATCCGGCAGGATCCTGCGCCCAAGCCCGGGTCGATGCGACCCTGGCCCTGCAGGATTCTGCAAGACCAGGCGCTCTGGCTGAACCCCGCTTGCATCGACCCCCGCCTCAGGGCTCCCGCCCTCACTTCGGGGATGTCTTCCGGCCACGGTCTTTTGCTTCACCGGCGCGCCGCTCTCGCGCGCGGCGGCAGCCCCGTCGGCACGCCCTGCCCTGCAAGCCAGGGCTGAACCTGAACGGTGTCTTTCGTTTTCGTTTTGTTTTCGTTTTCCCTCGCTTTTGTCTCGAATCCGCCTTTACCGCAGAACGAAATCGAAACGAAAACGGCCCCCGAAACCACCCAAAAATACCGTTTAGGTCCAGCCCTGCAAGCGGATAGCGCGCCGCTGCGCCCCGTGGGACGGGAGGCTGGGAAAGGCTCGGGCCGCTCACGCTCGAACGTTCTTCGAACGAGGCTGGCCAGCGAAGGTGGCCAGGGATGGGCCGAAGAGGCAAGGATGCGAGGGCATCTTCTGGAAGGCTGCTCATCATTCTCATTCGGGTTGGACTGGAGTTGGCGCCCTCCGATCACACCCCATGCTGGGCCTCGGACCACAACTCGGGCCTCAAGCGGCCACTCAGGAGGAGGAGGAGGAGGAGGAGAAGGAGGAGGAGGAGGAGAAGGAGGAGCCAGGCGGTCCTTCATGCCCCCCAAGAACATCCCACAATCGAGCGATGCTTATGGGTTACCCCCCGAGATTCGTTTGGGAAACCAAGACGTACCGCTACCGCTACTCCTCGGACCTCTCCATGGACGCGCTCTGCCCAAAGTCTCGACGCGAATCCAGCGGTGCTGACGAAGGCCTCCCACGAAGCCGACACATGGGGAAACGGTCGAAGGGTAGCGGTAGGTATGCCTCTGGCACATCTCTGGGCCACTTGTGGCCCACGCCTGGAGGCATCCCGTCGGAGGCCGCCCGGGGGAGCGGCTGTCTTGGGAGGGAAGGGAAGGGGGGGGCGACAAGCGACGAGAGGGCGGTCAAGAGCAAGAGACGAGCCAGACGCCCATCCAGGGGCAAGAGTGTCCAGGGCAATCCGCCGTCTCTCTCTCCGAGGCTTTCCTGAAGAGGCCACAGCGAGCATACAGTCGACCCGTATCATAAGGACGCACGGCTCGGACGCAAGGGTCTTGGAAGGCCGTCTCGAAGCTTCTCGAGCAGGGCGCGGCCGACGAAAGTGGCCAGGGTAGGCAAGGGTACCCCTGGGAAAATTGCCCATCCTTGCTATGCGGGTTGACTGCCCAGACCCCCGACGTCATGATTTGTTCATGACGTCGACCCCCAAGAGGTCTGGGCCCATTTCCAGGGGCAGGCTTTTCGTCCTGGGGCTTTTTTTGATGGTCCTGAGGCCCAGTGAAGGCCACCCGAGGCCGAAAACATGTACAAAACCTCCCGTCGTGACTTTTTCATGACTCGAGTGGGTCTGGGTGTGTGGCAAGCTCGTGACGTGACGACCCTGGCTCTACAAAGCCGCCCGAAGGAGCGTCGCGCGCTGTGGCCTCGAGGAGCCTGCTCCGGGCCTGCTCGGCATCCTGCCGCAGCCTGGACGGGGGCGGGGGCGCGGGGAGCTCGGCGGGGAGGGCGGGGCAGCAGGCGCCCTCCTCGAGCCTCGATCCTCGAAAGCAGGAGGAGGAGGAGGAGGAGGAGGAGGAGGAGGGGGAGGAGGAGAAGGAGGAGGAGGAGGTGGTGGAGGGAGGAGGAGGGAGGAGGAGGAGGAGGAGGAGGAGGAGGAGGAGGAGGAGGAGGAGGAGGAGGAGGAGGGGCAGTGGAGGAGGAGGAGATGGAGGAGGAGATGGAGGAGGAGGAGGAGGATA